CTCTGCCCCTCCCCGGAGCAGTCAGTTGTGGCCTGCTGGCCCTCCGCCACCGCCAGCCTGTGGCCTCAGTTTCCCCCTAGGAAATGGGGCCTTGCTGAGCCCAGGCTGCGAGGGGTCGTGCCCCCTCCCCCCAGGCAGGCCCCGGGCCAGGGCGGCGCTGGCGCGGGCTGCAGCCAAGTGGGCGAGGAAGGCAGCTTTGGCGGGCGCGGGCCGGGCTGATCTCATGGTGGCTGGGAAAGGCCCCAGCCCTCGGCGTGCCTCGGCCCTGACTCACTGGCCACCGCTGGCAGGGCGCCGGGGACAGCCTGGCTCATAGCAGAGTCTCCGCCGGCACCCTGCCCGCTGCCCTCACCGTGGGAGCTCAGAGCAGCCCCTCTGCCCCCACCAGCCCCGCTCGCTCCGAAGGCCAAAGGCATGCTGAGCATGCGGCTCAGGCCCTGTGACCCCAGGCTCTCCGCCCAGCGCCTGGTCTTGGTGCCCTGCCCAGGGGAAGAAGCTGTCCTCGGGCCAGCTCACACACCCTACACCTACCTGCAGAGCCGCCTGAGCCCCAGCTCGGAGGTCACCTCACAGCAAGGGGGGCCCTTGAGCAGTCATCTTGCAGATGGGGAAACGTACCGCCTGCCCAGGGTCAGAAGACATGGACCCCAGGCTGGGGCCCTCCGCTGCAGGGATGTGCATCTTGACTTAGGAGCTGGGACGACGACCTTGGTTTTTTCGGATAAAACCATCTCAGAGAACTCCAACCCTTGTCCAAGATCACCACGTAGAGGGTCCAGGTAGGCTGGAGCCACACTGGTCCACTCTGGGGGTGGCTCCAGGACCTCAAAGCAGGAGCCTTTGGTTACTCAAGCGAGATGGGCAGGTCCTCTGAGACCTGAAGGAGGGCCACACTCCAGGGGAGAGGAGGGGAGGACAAGAGGGGGCAATCAGGGCAACCCACGCTGATGGAGAAAAGTCAAGCAAATGTGCATCCATGTCTGTCAGCCCCAGATACAGTGAGTGCTACAGTTAGGCCCATCCTGTAGTTGAAGAAACGGAGGCTCAGAGATGCCCAAGGTTTCACGGCTGGTAGGTGGCAGAGCCAGGAGTTGAACCCACGAGGTCCACAGGCTGTGGAGGAGCTGGTCCCAGTTAGTGAGGACAGCTGGGAAGAGGACGCAGTGCTGTGGCAGTGCAAAGCCTGGGGCTGGGAGCATTCAAGAGGCACCGAGAGCCCCAGGGGGTAGTTGAATGTTAGGTGCCGCAGAAGGGGACGTGGCCTCTGCATCCTAACAGGCATCCCAGTGCTGCTGCTGCCGGCCTTCCCAGGGAGCCAGTCGCCCTGTTTCTTACCCCCAGGCGAGGTGCAGGGTGTGGCGTTGGGGGGACACTGCGGCAGCTCCAGCTGCGGGGGGGTGGAGGCTGGACTTGACCCAGGAACCTGTCCCTCCTCCAGCTGCCTTGAGCAGCAGGGTGACACATCCCCTCTGGCTCAGATCCCCTGATCATACAGGATCTCACTTCCTCCAGGGCCCCACGACCTGACCAGGGCCAGGAGGCAAGGGGCAGCCTGGGCCAATTTTGGGGTGGGAACAGCCCCAGCCTCCCCATCGGCTCCAGGCTGGAGGCTGACTCACCACAGCAGCTGTGGCCAGACTCCCCTCCTGCAGGGCTGTGAGCAAGGATGTGAGTGGCTGGATGGGATGGGGGGGAAGGGGGAACTGCAAAGGGCGCACACGCCAGGCTGCCCTGCCAGGCTTGGGGAGCAGCTTCTTCCCGCCACCCACGTTATGCTGGTAAGAACTATGGCCCAGGTGGCGATGGGGAAGGCAGGACTCTCACTGTCAATCTGTCCTACCAAGTGACAGCCCCAAAGCTCCAGGCTGCTCCCAAGAGTACCCGCCCCCCCCCCCCCCCCCCCCCCCCAATACCTGCAGGACCCTGTGCTGGGGCAGCACTGAGCCTAGACCTAGGGCTACTGGCCTACATGCACACCTTCTGCCAGTGTCATTCTGAGTCCAGCCAATCAGATCCCCATCCACGCTCTACTCTTGGCTGGTAGCAGAGAAGAGGACATGTCTGGACCCCAACAGGGGCTATGTCAGCTGAGCCCAGTGACCCATATCCCTGAGCCTCCCTTTGTCACCCTCCCAACCTCAGGGACCACGATGAGAGGCAGATAAATTAATCCCCACGATCCATGGCTGGCCAAATCAGTTTCAACGCACCGTGACCCCACAGGGCTAAGGAGAGCTGCCCTTTCCAAGGCTGTAGCTTTGTCTCCCGGTGGGATGGGCTGGTGAGTTCAAAGTGCCCACCTTGTGGTTAGTCGTCCAAAGCTTAACCCCCAGCATCCCCCACAAAGCCGCACATCACTGTCTTGAAACCCCATTGCCTGCGGGTCTACCACCACCACAGGAAAGTTCTCAGTACTGTTCTTTAGAAGTCGTTAAAAGGTGGATCCTGGAAGCCTCCATCACCCCTGCCTCTCCCAGGCGCCGCGCCGCACCCCATCCCAGTCTAGCTCCCAGCCCCGCAGTGCCAGGGGCTCCCCAGTTCTGCCGCGCCCCATCCGGCGCCGGAGCCCGCTCGCTCCAGGCCTCTCCCGCGGCCCGCG